TCAGAGCTACGCATCATACACAGGTGCACACAGGTGCACACAGAAATTCCAGCAAATGGCAGCTAGTCTGCAAGTTCAACAGCAGTTTTTTTTTCGTTCTAACAAAACACAGGAAAAAGCCACGACAGCAAGTTATGAAGTCGCTAAACTCATTGCCCAGCATGGCAAACCGTTCTCAGATGGTGATTTTATAAAACAGTGCCTTATTAAAGTGACAAAAGTAATGTGCCCAGAAAAAGTGCAGGATTTCAACAACGTCAGCTTATCCAGAAATACAGTGGTGCGGAGAATCGAGGACTTATCAGCTAACGTGAAACTTCAGCTTAGAGACAAAGCTTGCGCTTTTTACTCCATAGCGTGCGATGAGAGCACAGACGCCACAGACACTGCACAGCTGTTAATTTTTTTGCGCGGAGTCGATGACAATTTTTGCTGTACGGAGGAGCTGCTCGATATGATGAGCCTAAAAGGCACAACGACGGGTGGAAATCTTTTTGACGCTGTGTCAGAGGCAGTTGAAAAGATGGGGCTTAAATGGGACAAACTCTGTGGAGTGACAACGGATGGAGCTCCGGCCATGACGGGTGAGCGCAAAGGAATGGCATCCATGGTGTGCGCCAAGGTAAAAGAGAGCGGAGGTGAGGCTGTGAGGATGCACTGTATTATCCACCAAGAAGCACTGTGTGCCAAGACTGTCCAGCTGGGCGATGTGATGAACACTGTTGTGAAAACCGTCAACATAATTCGAGCTAGAGGACTGTACCACAGGGAATTTCAAGCTTTCTTGTCTGACGTGGATGCTGAATACGGGGATGTACTCTACCACTGTGATGTGCGCTGGCTCAGCCGCGGCTCTTTGCTGCAGCGGTATTATTCTGAGATCAGAAAATGGACAAGTTTTTGAGAGAGAAGGGCCGACCTCTTCATGAACTGAGTGACCCTCTGTGGCTGGCAGACTTGGCATTTTTAGTTGATCTCCCTCATCATCTAATAATAATAATAAACTTAACAAGAGCCTACAAGGCAAAGAACAGCTGGTGTCACATCTGTATGCGCACATGAAAGCCTTCTGTGTAAAGCTCCGCCTATTTGAGACACATCTACGAAGCTTTAATGCTGCACACTTCCCTGCGCTGGCTGAAATCAAGTCTGCTTTTCCAAAGGCAGACCTTTCTGCTAAAAAGGAGAAATATGTCTCTGTGATTACATCTCTCGTGACAGAATTCAACCAGCGTTTTCAAGATTTTTCTGTCATTGAAAAACAAATCAAG